CCTCCCTCCCTCCCTCCCTTCCTTCCTCTCTTTCTACAGAGTAGAGGGGAGGGGGAGGGGCAGAAGGAGAGAATTCCGAGCAGACTCCCTGCTGAGGACATGGGGCTGGATCTCACAACCCTGAGATCATGACCTGAGCTGAAATCAGGAGTCCGACACTCAACCGACTGAGCCACCCAGGTGCCCCTCACCTTCCTTCCGTGCCCACGCCTGCCTCCCCCAACCAGCCCATGAGCCCCATGTCTTGTTGGGTGCAGGAACCTGTGAGTCATTGACTAAAGACTCTTGGGAAGTGGGGCTGATGGAAGCTGGACAACGAATGGATGCGCAGGGCAGAAAGGCAGGCGTGGGATAGAGTGATATCTCGGCTGCATAGGGGGTGGCCGGGGGCTGCGGAGGGGCCTGAGAAGGGCCTGGGTCACAGGGAAATCTGAGAGGGGAAAGGGAGGATACCTGCTGTTCCTCAAGCACTAGGCCTGCTCTCTACATACCTTATTTTATTTAATTCTCATAATGATCCTGTGAGATGGGTATTATTTTCCCCACTTTCAGAAAAGGAAACTGAGGTTCAGAGAAGTAACTTACACAAGGTGACAACAATTAAGGGATGAAACAGGACTTTGAACCCACACCTGACTCCAAAACCCATACCCTTCTCTATACCTGCTGCTTCTTTGTGTCCATCAGTGGGATGTGGAGGGAGAAAAGGAGAGGGCTCTGACATCAGAGGAATGCACACTGGAGGGTGGGGCCAGACTCGGGGTGGGGGTGGGGGAGGGGGGTTGTGAGCTGTGCAGTGCACCGACCGCCTGGAGTGGAGGGCTGGGCAAGGTCAGTGTGGAGAGGACGCGTGGCCAATGAGGATACAGACAGCAGGGGAAGAAACCAGGAAGTCAGCCTGGTGGTGTCCCCGCACCGCACCCGTTCCTGGCTCCACAACAGGGATCTCTCGGGCTTGGGATCTCATTTTATGGAAAGTGGATCTTCGTAAGTAAGGTTCTCTGTGGGACTATAGACATACGTGATCAATCAGTACTTTTTAGAATTCTTCAGAATCTGAACGCATGTTAGATTTAACATGCTCTTAACAGTTCCCCATAAATCTCAGTGCTCCTCACTCTCTTAGACCCGCTATCTCACCTGCCTTGCCTCCATGACACTTCAGTTTGGAACCCTGTCAATTTGCAGGGGTGGGAAGGGTACGAATTCGGGTCCAGAGAAGAGAGACCTGTCCTGGGTCTCATAACTGGCTGACCCAAACCCTGAACTCCAGGCCTCCTGACACCCAAGCACATGGTTCTCTGAGCCACACTCAGAGCTATTCAGAAAAGACCAGAGGAAGTGAGATCTAAGAGGTGGTGAGTAAAACCCAGGAAGCTGTTTTAAGATTATGGCTATGAATAAACACGGTTCAAAGAAGTCAAGATTTAGGACTGAAGAATGAGCCATATGTCTACATTTGAGCCTTTAAGAGCCATCTTTGTTTGTTTCAGATTCCATCAGAGTCTCTCCACATAAAAAGCTTTGCCCATCTGATTTAGTTCCTGCTGGTACTGCCGATGCTCCTTTTCCAACAGCTGATGCAGGGCCGCTTGACGGACCTGGTGGGGAGGACAGAACAGAGTATGAGGTTTGCCTTCTGCTTGCCCTTGTTCTTGTTCTCCCCCTGGTGGCTTTCCAGCTGTGTCCTCTTGGATTTGGACTTAGCTGTGACAGAAAGCTAGGCAGAAGCATAGAGGCTGCACCTGCAGGGGTGGGAGGGGGATGCCGCCCCATTTTTTTCTCCATGGATGAAGCCCTATGTTCAGCAAATAATTGCTGAGAGCACCATGAAGTGGGAGTCCTGGGAGAGAGGGGCTGGGGCTGGATGCTGAGATGAGGGGATCAAGGACTAGTCTGCACTCTGGGACTCGAGAATATGCCACCTACAGCTGAACACAAAGAGCCATTTAATGAAAAAAGCTTCTGCTCTGGGGTGCCTGGGTGGCTCAGTCGTTAAGCGTCTGCCTTCAGCTCGGGTCACGATCCCGGGGTCCTGGGATCGAGCCCCGCATCGGGCTCCCTGCCCTGCGGGAAGCCTGCTTCTCCCTCTCCCACTGCCCCTGCTTCTGCTCCTGCTCTCACTAGCTCTCTGTCAAATAAATGAACAAAAAATCTTTTTTTTTTTTTTTAAGATTTTATTCATTTATTTGAGACAGAGAGAATGAGAGAGACAGAGAGCAAATGACAGGGGGAAGGGTCAGAGGGAGAAGCAGGCTCCCCGCCGAGCAGGGAGCCCGACGCGGGACTCGATCCCGGGACTCCAGGATCACGACCCGAGCCGAAGGCAGTCGCCTAACCAACTGAGCCACCCAGGCGCCCAATGAACAAAAAATCTTAAAAAATAAAAATAAAAAGCTTCTGCTCTGGTATAATGCAGAGAAGGTGGGCAAGTAATGGCAGCAACTAAGTTTGGGAATCCAGTGGGCTTCCGCACAGGATAGTAGTGGATGAGGCTTCAGGTCACCCTTGCTAGAACTCACCATCAGTAGCTGCTTACGGGCCAGTGCCAACTCCTGTCCCATGGTGTCCTGCATCCTTAGGGCAGCATACAGGTTTCTCCTCTGGCTTAGTGTCGTCTGCCACAGAGAGTGAGCGCGTGAATTTCGCCACCTGCCCCAGGTACACAGGTAGGAGCTGGACGGGTCAGTTAGGAATGGAGACCCAAACCCCATCGGAGAGGCCCAGAACCTCATGCCAATGTCAGAAGATGGCAAACTCCCTGAAAGGGTAACTAGAACCAGCTTAGAACCTAGGATATGTTGAATATGCAGGCCCTTTAATCATCATAATAGCCATGTGTCATAGATACCAGTTTCTGCATTGTACCACAAGGAAACAAAGTGCAGCTGAGTTGCCCAAGGTCACTTAATGGCAGACGCGGGTATCAAATCCAGTCTAAGAATTAATACCTTCTGTTATACCATGATTCTCAACCTTAGCTAGACATATTCTGGAACCATTTGCTAGGTTTTGTTTTGTTTTTTAGACTTTTTAAATTTTTTTTAAAGAGATTATTTATTTATTTGACAGAGACAGAGAGAGCACAAGCAGGGGGAGTGGCAGGCAGAGGGAAAGGGAGAAGCAGGCTTCCCGCCAAGCAGGGAGCCCGATGCCGGACTCGATCCCAGGACCCTGGGATCATGACCTGAGCCGAAGGCAGACGCCCAACCGACTGAGCCACCCAGGCACCCCTAGACTTTATTTTTTAAGCAATCTTTACACCCAGCGTGGGGCTCAAACCCACAACCCTGAGATCAAGAGGTACACGCTCCACCAACTGAGCCAGCCAGGAACCCCAAGGTTGCTTTTTTTTTTTTTAAAGACTTTATTTTAGAGAGAGAGGAGGGGGAGGAACAGAGGGAGAGGGAGAAGCAGACTCCAAGCAGACTCCAGCAGAGCCCGATTTGGGACTTGATCCCAGGTCCAGGAGATCATGACCAGAGCCGAAATCAAGTCAGCCACTCAATTGACTGAGCCGCCTAGGTGCCCCTAACACATTAAGAGCAATCTGCATTTCTTTCTCACACACACACACACAGGTAAGCCCTGTTGAAACTTAAAGCATTTTATTATTTTTTTTTTTAGGGGGAGAGGGGCAGAGGGAGCAGGAGAGAGAGAATCTTAAGCAGACTCCACACTGAGTGCGCCTGATGCAGGGCTCGCTCCATCTCACTGACGTGGTTTTGGAATGTTGGTGAGGTCTGGAGCCAACGGCCAAGAAAGAATTCTTGAGACGTCTTTGGTGCAAAATGGTTGTTTTATTAAAGCTCGGGGACAGGACCCGTGGGCAGAAAGGGCTACTGCCCTGTTGTGAGGAGTGACTGATTATATACTTGGGAGTTGGGGGAGGTAAGAAAAAGGGAGGTTTTCAAAAGAACGTTCATCTGCTAAAGAGGACCTACAAGGTACCAGAGACCTTGTCATTGTCAAGTTAAGGTTGTTTTTCCCTCTAGCAAGGCATTAACGTTAAGACAGTTGGGAGTTTCCCTCTGGAAGTTAGGTTATTAATATTATTATTTTTTAAAGATTTTATTTATTTGACAGAGAGAGAGAGCACGAGCAGGGGGAGAGGCAGAGGGAGAGGGAGAAGCAGGCTCCCCGCTGAGCAGGGAGACTGATGCGGGGCTTGATCCCAGGACCCTGGGATCATGACCTGAGCCAAAGGCAGATGCTTAACGGCTGAGCCACCCAGGCGCCCCTAGGAAATTGATAAGAATGCTTTTTTCTTGTAAATCACTAAGGCATTTATAAACTGAGGGAGACTCCTGTTCTCCAGGACTGTGATCTCTATAAGTTAACCATTTGTTTTTCCTTCCCTTAGCTTCAGAGGAATGTCGCACAGATCCCGCCTGGGAGGGTACTTTGTCCTCAGCTTGCCTTCTGCTCCCTCATCATCGCGACCCGAGATCTCAACCTGAGCCAAAACCAAAAGTCCAGTACTTAACCAACTGAGCCACCCAGGTGGCCTTTAATATTTTTTTTAAGTAATCTCTACACCCAATGTGGGGTCAAACGCACAATCCCAAGATCAAGAGTTACATGCTTCACTGACTAAGCCTGCCAGGTGCCCCCCGCCCTGTTGAAATTAAAAAAAAAAAAAAAAGTATTTTTTTTACAGATGATAGAAAATTTAACCCATATAGAAATACACTAAATGAGAGTTGCAGTTGCCCTCTCCAAGTTCCTGTCTCCCTGCCCATACTGCCTGGATCGCCTCCCCAAATCATGACCCAGCTGCAGCCAGCAAAGGAGCTGAGCCCAGTAGGGGGTGCCACGTGAGGCCCGGTGGGCAAGAGGCTACAGCAGGAGCTGATGACCCTCATGAGGTCTGAGGACAAAGGAATTCTGCCTTGCCTCAGTCAGACCTTTCCAAACGGGTGGGGACCACCATGGAGCAGCTGACGAAGTATATGAAGATGTGAGGTAGAAGTTCTCTCGAGTTCCCCAGTGCTTCCTCCTACAATGCACCCACGGTGAAGTTCCTCATACCCTGCTACCACCCCAGCGTGGACACCCAGGGGATCATCTGCCTGGACATCCTGAAGGACAAGGGGTCTGCCCTGGGTGATGTCAGGACCATCCCGCTGTCCGCCAAGAGCCTGCTAGGAGAAACCAACATTGATAAGCCCTTTGGTTATCAAGCTCTAGAAAAACCCATAGCCTTTAAGATGTATTGCAAGAAACCTACTCAAAGAAGGTCTCCAGCCAAGAACCTTGTGTAGCTTCTCTCCTTGTGTTGTCTTTTTATTTCTTCCTTAGATGTTCTGTCCTTCCCTTCATTTCTGTCTAGCATTTTGTTTCTTAATCTGTGGTGTCATTTTTTTTTTGTTTCTGTTTTTCATTTTTTATTTTTATTTATTTTTAAAGATTTTATTTATTTATTTGACAGAGAGAGACACAGCAAGAGAGGGAACACAAGCAGGGGGAGTGGGAGAGGGAGAAGCAGGCTTCCCGTGGAGCAGGGAGCCTGATGCGGGGCTCGATCCCAGGACCCTGGGATCATGATCTGAGCTGAAGGCAGAAACTTAACGACTGAGCCACCCAGGCGCCCGTTTCTGTTTTTTTAAATTAAGTATCTGGTTGAACCCTTGTGATAAATCTATTCAATAAATACACTGGGTTTAAAAAAAAGAGGGGCACCTGGCTGGCTCAGTTGGTGAGCACGTGACTCTTGATCTTGGTTGGGGTTGTGAGTTCCAGCCCCATGCTGGGTGTAGAGATTACTTAAAAATCTTTGGGGTGCCTGTGTGGCTCAGTCGATTAAGTGTCCGACTCCTGAATTCAGCTCAGGTCCTGATCTCAGGGTTGTGAGATTGAGCCCCACGTGGGGCTCTAGGCTGGGCGTGGAGCCTGCTGGTAATTCTTTCTCTCCCTCTGCTCCTCCCTCTTCCTTCCTCAAATAAATAAAATGTTAACAAAAATCTTAAAAAATATATACTAAATGAAAAGTGAAAGCTTTGTTCTTCAACCCCAGTTCTCAACGAAGTTATGTTTCCTGTGCATATTTCCAGAAAATTTTTCTATCATATACCAGCAAGTATTACTTTTTTTTTTTTACCATGAATTCGTATGTTTATATTATCACTTAACAATTTGGACTTTTCCTACCAGCACATAAAGATTTTCTCCATTCTGTGTAAAGACTTCCTAGTATTTTTGTATCATAATTTAACCAGCTAGACAGCTTATACTTTTTAAATTTTTTTTTTTTTTTAAAGATTTTATTTATTTATTTGAGAGAGAGAATGAGAGAGAGCACAAGAGGGGGGAGGGTCAGAGGGAGAAGCAGACTCCCTGCTGAGCAGGGAGCCCGATGCGGGACTCGATCCCGGGACTCCAGGATCATGACCTGAGCCGAAGGCAGTCGCTTAACCAACTGAGCCACCCAGGCGCCCCTAAATTTTTTTTTTTTTTTTTAAGTAATCTCTAACCCAACATTGAGCCTGAACTCACAACCCTGAGATCAGGAGTTGCATGCTCCACCAACTGAGTATATGTATGTAAGGTAAACTAGACGTACAGTTGCCAGTTCCAAGGATGTGTGAATTTTGAGATCTTAAGTTTTGATAGATTTTATCAAATTTATTTGTAAAAAGGCTGCATCAATTTGGACTCCCACTAAAATTATATGCAGTTGCTCCCTTACATCCTTGCTGGCCCTCGGTATAACCACCTGCGAAACCTTTAAAAACAGCCTTATCCTACCTGATCCCAGACCACCGTAGTCAGAATCTTCTGGGTTAAGACCCGAGCACATGTGTTTTAAAAAGCTCCCAGGTGAGTAATGTATGGTGATTAACATAACATAAAAAAAAAAAGCTCCCAGGTGAAGGAGAGACATACAGCCTCATCTTCTCATTCACTCACTCAAAAAATACTTACTGCATACCTATCACATGATTAATACAACAAATACTTGCATTCTACTTAAAAAATAAAAGAACAAAAACTTGATCTGATTTTCCTTCAAACAGGAAGAGAGAGACAATAAAAGCACTGTGTGGGTAGCACGACCTACTGGGCACTGGGAGGCTGTCCCTGAAAAGGGCCGCTTCCTGCCCCCGCACACCCGTTTCCTTCCCGAGGAGCCCAGGACAAGGATGAAGTGTATCTGAGTGGTGGCTGGGGGGGAGGGGGGAGGAGGACAAGGTCAAGCTGAGGGGTAAGGGAAGGGATAGAAGCAGAAATTACCTGTCAACCATCTTCTTAAATCCCAGGACCCTTGGAAAACTCTGCAAGAAAAGCAAGTTGCTCATCTGCCTTGACGTCCAGCACCCCATCCCCAGCACCTTTCCCGTGGGCCTCTCTTCTTGACAGGGAATGGCACTTCCTAGGGGAAGTGAGGGCAAGAGTGCTACTCCTTTCAGAGCGGACCAAAGAAAACATGCCGGTAGGGGCTGCAGTTACATCATGGGCCCCTCAGGAAACGGTCTGCTTCTGGCCAACCCAGCCCCCTTCCAGCTCTGCACACCTCTTCGACTTTTGTCGTCTTTTCCACAGACATGTCCACAAGCTGGCGGGACGCGGGCTCAGGAGAGGCAGGCTCTCCCTTCTGTCCAGTCGGTCACCCAGGATTCAGTAGTCATAGCAACACATTCACCTCCAACAACAACCCCTGACCTAGAACTTGATTGGTCACCTGGCCTGTTGCCCTGGAGACCTGAAGCGAATCCTGGTTCTCCTGCCTTCTATTAGTGACGCAGGCAATTCTAGGAGCAAGGACCACAGTCCCAATTTTAGGGTTTCTTCTGTGGGGTCTCTGTATGATCGTAGGTCCAAAAAACATATCCTACACCTGTTTCATTAAAAGGCAACTGCAGGGCGCCTGGGTGGCTCAGTAGGTTAAGCATCTGACTCTTGATTTCGGCTCAGGTCATGATCTCAGGGTCATGAGATCCAGCCCCATGTCAGGCTCTGAGCTCAGTGGGGAGTCTGCTTCTCTCTCTGCCCCTCCCCCTGCTCGTGCACATGTGTGTTCTCTCTCAAATAAGTTTTTTTTTTAAATGTTATTTATTTTACAGAGAGAGAGACACAGCGAGAGAGGGAACACAAGCAGGGTGGGGGGAAGGTGGGAGGAGGAGGAGAAGCAGGCTTCCCACGGAGCAGGGAGCCCGATGCGGGGCTTGATCCCAGAACCCTGGGATCATGACCTGAGCTGAAGGCAGACGCTTAACGACTGAGCCACCCAGGCGCCCCTCAAATAAATCTTAAAAAAAAAAAAAAGGCAACTATAAAGAAATGAATCATGTTTTTTTAATTGTTCATTTTATTAAATAATCTACAATGTCAGACCAGTGCATTGATCTGACATTTCTTCACTGTCCCACAGCATCCCCAGTAAGTGTGGGGGGATGGGATTATGTCAGATGCCAACATTCCCTTTTCCATTTATTCAAGACAGTATGGAAAGAAAGCCTAAGGGCAGATCCTTGCACGTCAGGAAAGTTGTGTTAATGTTTCCACACACGCTGGATTAAGTGGAGCACCAGCAAGCTGTTCCATGTAGCATGCATGGCCTCACTAGACCTCCCCACCAGCTCGCATCTGCCCGTCCTACCAATCACCTCTAAGATGTCTCAAACCCAAATGGTCCCCATTCATCTATGTATAAAGGGGTAGACATGGAAGACACCAGGCCCTGCCACCCCAATTCTCACTCTTAGGATTATTTATAGTGGAAAAGGGGGAAAAAAAGAGGCAGATGAACTACAATCAAAACCAAGTGAGGATTTTTAAGGAAGCATTGATGGAAACATTAAGAAAAACATCTGAATTCAACTCCAAAAAAAGTGTTCCCAAGGGAAAATAAAGTCCTGATTCTCTGAAATGGGCTGTAAGAACAAGCTGGAGAATGATTCTCTAGGCATGAACCCTAAGAGCTCTGGACACTGTGGCATTTCAGCTGACCTGGACCCATCAGCCAGATGACCTGAGGCCGCTGGCCCCACCAGCAGCATGGCAGCTTCCATCAGCTCGTCACAGAGTACTTTCCAGTGTGTTATAGTTGTCCTTAAAGCTCTTCAGTTCAAGGAAGTGTTTGGCACGTTTACTCTTCTGACTGGAGGGGAGGTATGTCACCTGGATGGTTGTTGGTGAGACTTCAGGAGACTGGGTTAGGTCTTTGGCTGCCGACTGGTGCTGTCTCTGAGAGCTCCCACTTCGTGCTTTGACCCTGGAGAATAGAGAGGGCAGCTCAAGGACAGAATGAGGACTAACACAAGAATACAATTCAAGGCTCATCCATTCTATAAAGCCACCAATGATCCCTCTCCTTGTTCTATCTTATAAACTAGTTACTAAAACCCCATCTGATAGCTTAAAAGTAGCAGAGAAACCAATTTTCCCACTGAGTCCCTGCCTCTGGCTCAACATTTTCTTCATCTCACTATAAAGAAAACTTTAGGGGCACCTGGGTGGCTCAGTTGTTAAGCGTCTGCCTTCAGCTCAGGTCATGATCCCAGGGTCCTGGGATCGAGCCCCGCATCGGGCTCCCTGTTCAGCGGGAAGCCTGCTTCTCCCTCTCCCACTCCCCCTGCTTGTGTTCCCTCTCTTGGTATCTCTCTCTGTCAAATAAATAAAATCTTTAAAAAAAAAAAAACTTTTAATTCTGCTGAATTAAATGTATGTCACTAATATACTCCTAGTCCAAAAACAGTCCCTTGAAAACGGAACACCAAAAAATAGAGAAGTAGCTATTGAGTACTTGAGCTATTGAGTATTGAGACGTGTTAGGACATTAAATTTGGTGTTTTATCAAATATTGATATCCCAGTATCTCTAGATGGTGGTAACATCCCTATTTTCCAGGTTCGGAAACTGATAGCCCCCTTGCCTAAGGTCACAAAGCTATTAAGTGACAGAGTTGGGGTGTAAATCTGTCAGATTTCAGAGCCTATCCTCTTCATTAGACTCACTGAAACTTTCTAGAAACCAGAAATCAAGGACTGAATTTTTAAATTTTATCATGTTATGTTAATCACCATACATCATTAGTTTTTGATTCAAGGGGTGAATTTTTATTTTATTATTTTTTTTAAGTTCATTTAAGTAATCTCTACACCCACTGTGGGGCTTGAAATTGAACTCACGACCCCAAGATCAAGAGTCAAGCACTCGGGGCACCTGGGTGGCACAGTCAGTTGAGCGTCTGACTCGGTTTCTGTTCAGGTCATGATCTCGGGGTCCTGAGACTGAGCCCCACCTTGGACTCCATGCTCAGCTTGGAGTCCGCTTGAGATTCTCTCTCCTTCTCCCTCTGCCCCTCCCAACTCATGCTGTTTTTCTCTTTAAAATAAATCAATCTTAAAAAAAAAAAAAAGTCACATGCTCTTCCAACTGAGCCAGCCACAGGCACCACTATTTATTTTTTAAGTAAGCTCTATGCCCAAAGATTTGGGAGGAGGAGGAGCAGCAGGCTTCCCGCGGAGCCAGGAGCCCGATGCGGGGCTTGATCCCAGGACCCTGGGATCATGACCTGAGCTGAAGGCAGACGCTTAACGACTGAGCCACCCAGGCGCCCCTCAAATAAATCTTAAAAAAAAAAAAACTCATGGCCCCAAGACTAAGAGTTGTGTGCTCTACTAAGTTAGCCCGATGCCCCACAAGGACTGAATTATTTATTTATTTTTAAAGATTTTACTTATTTGAGAGAGAAAACACAAAAGCAGGGGGAAAGGCAGAGGCAGAGGGCGAAGCAGGGATGCCTGGGTGGCTCAGTCAGTTGAGCGTCTGCCTTCAGCTCAGATCATGATCCCAGGGTCCTGGGTTTGAACCTCTCATCAGGCTCCGTGCTCAGTGGGAGCCTGCTTCACCCTCTCCCTGTATCCCTCCCTCCTGCTTGTGCGCACGTACCCTCTCTCTCTCTTCTCTCTCTCTCACACTCTCAAATTAAGTAAAATCTTAAAAAAAAATAAAAAAGATTTATTTTAGAGAAAGAGAACGAGAGCGCGTGCACACACATGGGTGAAGGGCAGAGGAAGATGGAGAGAATCTCAAGCACACTCCCCGCTGAGCACAGAGCCCAACGTGGGGCTCGATCTCATGACCCCGAGATCATGACCCAAACTGAAAACAAGAGTCGGATGCTGACTGAGCCTGACTGAGCGAACTAGGTGCCCCCCAAGGACTGAATGTTTAACAAAATTGTGGGAAGATACATACAAGATTTACCATCTCAGCCATTTTTAAATGTTTACAGTCCAGCACTGTTAAGTACATTCACATTCCCACCATCTCCAGAGCTCTTTTCATGCTGCAAAACTGAAGCTCTGTCCCCATTAAACCCTAACCCTCCAGCCCCTGGCACCCACCATATCCTTTCTGAATTTGGTGACTCTAGGGAACCCAGATGAGTAGAACCAGAAAGTACTTGTCTTTCAAAGGAACTGTACTTTGAACACGCTCCCTAAGTGACTTCCAGACTAAGCACCCTTCTCATCCTCTCCCCTGTTCACTTTCACTCCTATTCCAAGCCGTTTTTACTGGACCTTTTGTTTCTGGAACAAAGTAGTTTATTTTTAAGGACATAGATAAGAGAGGACAGACATACCCCTTATCTTTTGAGAAAAAGCCATATTCAACACAGCAGAAAACAGAGGCGATTCTTTTCAAGGCCAGTAACTTTTTATTCTACTTGTGCTCCCCCGTCCACCCTTTCAACATTTGCTTAAACACCACCACGAAGCTATGTTAATAGTGCACGTTTAAAACAACGCCAGACAAAAGTCGGGATTCCAGTAACAGACACTCAACAGCTAATACTACGGTGAGGCCCTTAGTCTCATGTGGAGTTCCTAATGCTATAAATGCTAATAAAAATGGATGGCACTTAATTGTTACTTTTATCAAACCAAGACATACAAGGAGGACACTGAAACCTTGGAAGAGAAGGAAATCTTTATACTGAAAACTTCATTCCCTTTGATATAAATGTTATGCCACTTCTGACATTTTACTCACCTGGACTTAAAAAAAAAGAAAAAAGAGGGGGCACAGAAGTAGGAGGCGTCTCCCTCTGCAAGCTTGTGAAGCAGCACATGCTTTCAGATGTGAGGGACGGCAGGACGGGACAGCTCGCCACTGTGATTTTGTTAACGCTGCTTATGAAGGGCATCTTGCTGTGGGGGGGGGGGGCGGCCAGCACTACCATACTCTCTAACCAGCCCCTCCAACATACTCCCCTTCGAACTTACACAGTGGCCAGCTCACTCAGGGCCTCCTGGTAGCGCAGGTACTCACTCTGGCCAAAGACCTGAGGAAAGAGGAAGGGTGAGAGTCCCTTAGGCTGGGGTGTCCCTTTAGTTCCCGGAAGGAAAAAGTGGCCATCCAGCTTACCCCCGTCCCATAGCGGGCTGTCTCATAGCCATCCAGCAAGGTATCAATGAGGGCCTTGCGCACACCCTTAAAAGGAGTACTAGTGTTCCGAAGATCTAGCAGGTAAGAGCGGAAATTCTTGCCCATTAAGGAATGGGGATGCCTGCCTTCAGCATGAAATGGTATCTCTGTGGAGATAACAGATAACAGTGTTAACACTTCTCCCATTTACCAGTATTTCTAGTTTATCTTCCAAATTTAGAA